AAAAAAAAAAAAAAAAGCCTAAACCTATATTCTGGAAGACAGATAGATAACAGATAGGTAGGGAGAGAGAGAGACAGATACACAGAGGGGGAGAGAGAGAAGATCTGGAATATATATGGAAGTTTATGTTTAGAACACAAGCTTGTTCTAAATTGTTGTGAGGTCTTTTCAAATGAGCAAGCACCTCTAAAGATGATGTGACCAACTTTCCTGGTTTGCCTGGGATAGAATGGGGTCCTAGGAAATGAAACTTTTCATTTTGGAACTGAGACGGCCCCAGGTAAATTGGGTCCAGGACTGAGGGGATTCCTAGGAGGATCTCTCTAAAGACCAGGCTGATTGAAGGGTAGACAATTAAAGCCAAGTTTGCTCAGAATAAATGGGCAAATTATTACTAAACTGGCTTCCTTAACCATCTTGTATCTTCTTTATATTCTTTACCCTAAGTATTGAAACTGACATTAAGACCAAGAATAACAGAACAAGACAAAGATTTCCCTTCTTTCCCCTTTATCTTTTTTCCATTTAATGAATTGGGGAATCTTCCCACCAGCCATCAATATTGGGCATCCTTTTGAACCTTCACATATTTTGAACCTTGAACCTCAGTGGTGAATCAATTTTCCTATCATTACCTTTCAGCCCCTGAGTTTTGAAAGCAAGAAAAGCTACACCTTAAAGGTGGAGGGAGCCAATCCTCATCTAGAGATGCGCTTTCTGAGCTTGGGCCCATTTCAGGACACAACAACAGTGCACATCAGTGTGGAAGACGTGGACGAGCCCCCTGTATTCGAACCTGGCTTTTACTTTGTGGAGGTGCCTGAGGATGTGACGATTGGAACAACCATACAGATCATTTCTGCCAAGGACCCAGATGTGACCAACAACTCAATCAGGTTTTCCTAGATTTCACCTTTTCCTTATACGCTGGAATCTTCCCTTCCCCTGTATGTACTTTTCTAGCCCCTTTCCCTTTGTTTCTTTCTTCTCTATCCCATTTCTGGAGACTCTCCCCTGCTTTTTGTTTTTGTTTTTTTTTTCTTAAGTAACATGGCCTTGTCAGGTTATTTAGAACTGAAGTGTCATGTCTAAAACTCCCTTTCA